GTATAACACTGGGCAAGTTGGCTGCAAAGGACCTCCTCAATTGCCAAGGAGCAAGGGTGTCTCCTTGAGGACTGAGGTTTGCCTGACACAAGCCATGATATTTTCAATTGCCTCGTATGCATGTGAGAGCTGGACAATGAATAAGGAAGACTGAAGAAGAATTGATGTTTTTGAGTTGTGCTGCTGGTGAAGAATGCTGAAAGTACCATGGACTGCTAAAAGAACTAACAGATCTGTCCTGGAGGAAATGTAGCCAGAATGCTCCTTGGAAGCAAGAATGGCCAGACTTGTCTCACCTAGTTTGGTCGTGTTGTTAGAAGGTACCATTTCCTGGATAAGGATGTCATGCTCGGTAAAGTGAAGGGTCGACGAAATAGGGGAAGGCCCTCAATGAGGTGGATTGACACAGTGGCAGCGGCAATGGGCTCAAGTATAGCAAGGATCATGGAGCTGGCATGGAACCAAGTGGTGTTTCGTTCTGTGTATAGGGTCGCTATGAGTCTGACACGACTCAACAGCACCTAACAACAACAACATTCATCAGGGATATTGGTCTGTAATTTTCCTTTCTAGTGGTGTCTTAGAGCTCTGGTGGCATACTACCTGAGGCATTTGACTGCTAACCAGAAGGTTGGCGGTTCAAACCCACCAGTCACTCCACAGAAGGAAGACTGGGCAATTTACTTCCATAAAGATTTACTGCCTCGGAAACCTAAAGGGGGTCTCTATCAGTCAGAATCAACTTGATGGCAGTGAGTTTGATTTTTTTAATTTACTGGTGTTTTTGCCTGGTTTTAGTATCAGGGTTATGCTTGCTTCATTAAATGAATTTGAGAGGATTCTATTATTTTCTATGTTCTGGAATAGTTTGAGTAGGATTGGTGTCAGTTCTTCTCTGATTGATAGCATTCTCCAGTGAAACCATCTGGGCCAGGTCTTTTTATTGTTAGTAATTTTTTTATGACCTGTTCTATTTCTCTTTTGTTATGCATGTGTTCAGATTTTCTACCTTAGTCTTTGTTCATTTAGGTAAGTAGTGTGTTTCTAGAAATCTATCCATTTCTTCTAGGTTTTCAATTTTATTGGAGTACAGTTCTTCATAGTATCTTGATACTCTTTTTATATCTGTTGGTTTTCTTGTGACATCACCCATTTCATTTCTTATTCATGTTATTTGCATCTTCTCCTTTTCCTTTGTTATGTTTGCCAGTGGTTTGTCAATTTTATTAGTCTTTTCAAAGAACCAACTTCTAGTCTTGTAGATTTTTTTCTGTTGTCTTTCTCTTTCCTGTTTCATTTATTTCTGCTTTAATCTTTATTATTTCTTTTTTTTCTGGTCACTGTAGTCTCTCCCTCTTTTTTTTTTTTTTTTTGCTCTTTTTCTAATTGTTGGAGTTGCTGTGTTAAGGTGTTGATTTGGGCTCTTTCTTCTTTTTTGATATGTGTATCCATTGATATAAATTGCACTCTGATCACAGTTTTTGCTGTATCCCAAAGATTTTGGTATGTTGTACTTTCATTCTCATTTGATTCAAAGAATTTTTTAATTTCATTTTTTATTTCTTCTGTTACCCAGTTATTTTTAAGGAGGGTGTTATTCAATTTCCATGTGTTTACTCTTTTGGCATTGATCTTCCTAGTGTTGATTTCTAATTTTATAGCACTGTGATCTGAGAAGATGGTTTGCCATATTTTATTGTTTTTAAATTTATTGAGGCTTGCTTTGTGGCCTAACGTGTGGTCTATCCTGGAGAATGTTCCATATGTATTGGAAAAGAATATGTATTGTACTGTTCTTGGGTAAAATGTTCTGTAGATGTCTGTAAGGTCAAGTTGGTTGATTGTATTGTTTAGTTCTTTTGGATCTTTGTTGAGTATCTTTCCCGTTGTTCTATCTTTGATTGAAAGTGGTGTATTAAAGTCTCCTGCTGTTACTGTGAAGTCATTTAATGTTTTTTCAATTCTGTTAAAGTCTGATTTATGTGTTTGGGCTCTTTCACTGGGTATATAAATATTAATTATAGTTATATCCTCTTGTTCAACTGATCCTTTAATCATTATATAATATACTTCCTTGTCTCTTTGGTTTTTGTCTTAAAGTCAGTTTTATCAGAAATTAATATTGCCACTCTTGCTCTTTTTTGATTGCTGTTTGCTTGATACATCTTTTTCCAGCCTTTGATATGTCTGTTTTTTGTCTTTGTGTCTCTAAGATGAGTCTCCTATAGACAGCATATTGATGGGTCATATTTTCTCATCCAGTCTGCAGCTCTCTGTCTCTTGAGTGGTGCATTTAATCCATTTACATTCAGTATAATTTTAGACAAGGATGAATTGATGGGTCCAATTTGACGGCACATAACAATAAAAACAACAATGAATTGATTGATGTCATTTTGTTATTATACCAGTTGCTCTTGTGCAGTTATCAGTACCACTCCTTTTCACTCTCAGAACTGAGTAATAAATTTTATGGTCACCACAGTTATAGAATAAAGAAACTACCTTCTTGCTTTAACTCTGAATGGTAAAACTCCATAAACTAAAGTTCTATTGTTATTTTGTTTATCAGTTATTATTTACTGAATACTTATTACCAGGTATGGTCTCCATGAGTCAGTATTGATTTGACAGCAACAGATTTGGAGTTTTGTTTAGTTTAGTTTATTACCAGGTATTGTTCTAAGTGCCTAACATACATTATCTCATTTAATCCTCAGAACCCTCTCTGTGGAAGATGTCCCTCTGTTACAGATGAGGAAGCTGAGGCTTAGAGACTTTAAATAATTTGTTTAAGGTCACACAGCTAATAAGTGCTGAAACTAGAATTAGAATCCAGTTCTTTCTGACTTCAAAGCTTATATTTTATTGTGTCTATATAATTTAAAATCAAGAATATGTAATTTCTTTGCTGTAAACTTAATGCATAATAAGAATTCTCTATGTCTTTAATGAACCAAGTTAAAGCTTATCATGAGGCTCTATCTGTCCTAAGTCTCAGGAAAAAATAAAAGTTTGAACAAGCATGGTTATGGCAGGATAGCAGAATACTCAGAAACAGAGCAAATGCTCAGTTGTACTATGTGTTCTCATACAGCTCCTACATTCTGCTGCTTCATATTCCTGAGCTTTTGATTTTCCTACATAAACTTTGACTTTGGCTGTTTATCTTAAAAGGGCCATCATTCTCCCTATTTTATTCCCAGCATCAAAAGACTTTTACTAACAAGGTTAATGCTATCTAGTTGCCCCTTGATCAGTTTAGGAATGATTTACCTGGACTGCTACCAGCGTGATGATATTATCAGAGTAGCAGTTCAGAAGCTATTTCCTTTCTGGTTAATAGACTTTATTCCAGTTCAATAACTGTTTATTGAGCCTCTACTACAAATAAACCTCTTGACATAGAAAAAAGCCCTTTTTGAATGCAGCTGCTCTGCTTCTCATTTGGTTGGATTTGACCTCTAACATCTCATCCTGTGCATTATTTCCAGCCTGTCTATCGTCGCCTGAGGTGTCCACCTAAGGCAGACAAACCCACAACACCAGTATCTCCCTCTGCATCAAGACCCTCACTCTATACCAGTTCCCATCTGCTACGGACAAGTAGTAGGTCTTCAGTCCCTGATTCTGAGAATTCAGAGACTGCCACAAACACTGCAAAGGAAATGGACAAAAATGGTATGTAGAGCTTCATAAAATGCAGGTCCATCCCCAGTGCATGTACCCCATTTCCTTAAGACCCATTCTTGTTTTATCTCTGGCCAGAGAGCGAAGAAGCAGATATAGATAATCAGTCCTCCAATAGGCTGTCCATCCGAGACAGGAGGCGGCCCAAGGAACGGCGAAGAGGCACAGGCATCAACTTCTGGACAAATGATGTAAGTGTGTGAGTATGTGCTGGGGTATATCACCTCACCCTTGGCTGCTGTCCTCTCTGTTGAATTTTAAGGAAATATATGCAATATACCGGACTCCTATATAAATTGTGCACTCATTATTTTTTTAAGCAATGAAAAATAGCACTTGCTTTAATTTAAAAAAAGAAAGAGTCCCCATTGGTGCCATGAGTCTTGCAGATTGTCAAGAAATATTACTGAGGAAAAGAATAGAAAGACCCAACTAGTGTGGGACTCATATGGTATATTCCTGCTTGATGCCCAGTGCCTAGAACAGTGCCAAGCACATAGTAAGCACTCAGTAAATGATTGATGAAGAATGAAAAAAAAAATGGAAATTTACAACTATGGAAAAAAATATAATAAATGAATAAGCTTGTCAAGTTTTAGCAGTCCTCCTTAGTCCCTGAAAGTCAAGCTATTAGTCCATGATATCTGAGTATCTCATATAAACAGGGATTAATATTTAAGAGCTATGAAGTTTTCAGAGAACTTAAAATCTCTGACACAAATTTATTTGACTCAATTTTACTCTTTTTGGAGGAAAAAAAACGTAAAACACAGATTGACTTTGGCTTTGAATTGAAGACAGGTACACCAATGTTTACTGACTATAAACAGTACTTTAATTCACTCTCCTCCATAATCTTGTTTTATACGTTCCTCATTCAACCTTGTTACTGGCATTTTGAAAATCAAGCAGCCAATTAACTTGAACAAAGATCTCTGGTTACCAATGGCTCACTCCAAAATTAGATAAACCATTCAATGAAACAAGAAAAAAAGACACTAGTAGTCATCTATTAGAAACTATTCTTTAGATAAAAGTACTTAATTGTTATAGGGCCAAATAGACTGATCATTGTTGACAGAGATGAAATAAAATCTTTCTTTCTTGAGGGTACCTTTTGTCCAACTGTGGTTCCTTTGACATTTTTGACTACAAGTGATGTTCCCAACCTGCCTGCCTATGATAGCTGTTAAAAGAATAGTAACAGAGCATCTCGTTTCTTATGTTTGAAATGTCAAGATGCTTAACTGATGGGAGCTGACCTTATTGCTTTCAAGGATGTCTGTGAGTATTTTTCTCTTGTTTCTCTTCCTCCTTTCTTTTCAGGAGGATGAAACTGATGTTCCTGAAGAGGTGAAAAAGGCACTGGTAAGTGACAAGCCAGTGAGGCATGTCCTTTTAGGGCTCAGCCTTGCTCTTGTGCATACAATTTTAATAGAGGAAAGAACAGTCTCTATGCAGATTGCTCAGTGGACTAATGACTACGTCAGGTTGAGGGGAAGTTTGGAGACAGACATTGCTCTGAGATAGATATATGGCAGGTGTTAGTTGATGATACTATTTTCTTATGTGGTATAACAATGCCTATGGTCTTGAGCAAATTTCTTACATTTCTCTATTTCTGCTGCCTATCTCTAACACAATTACAAGATCTGTCTTCTTTTTTTCTCCTGTGGGTATATTATTGGATTATATAAAGTATTTTGAAATATTTGAAAGAAAAATGAAGAGAGATAGTATTTCCCTTATGGATCTATACTAATAGAGAGGAACATAAATGTGGCTTAGTGTAAAACATCAGACAATCTAAAAGTCATTTATATTTGACTTTGAAATGAGGTTAAACACCTGGCCTCTTATATAACTCAGACCCCTTAAGACCTGGCATCTGACTCTTCTCTGCATTGAAAGGCCTGGGCCCAGCTTTTCTGAAAATACTCCAGGTTCCTATAAGCCATTCAAAGGTTATAAAAAGTTATTAGCTTTCTTATTAATATTATTTTGTGAGAAAGAAGGGATTTGATTTTCACTAAGTGAATTGAGAGAGCATCTACATCTCTATTTGGAATTATATAAAAAGATGGCCTTTTTTGCACCCTACAGTTTATTAAAAGAATGGTCTCAAAATAGATTTTTTTTTTCTCTTTTTGTATTTTGTTCTTGTTGTTGAGAATATACACAGTAAAATTTACACCAATTCAGCAGTTTCTACATATGCAACCTAGTGACAGTGATTGCGTTCTTCGAATTGTGTAACCATCCTCACCCTCCTTTTCAGAGTTTTTCCTCCCCCATTAACATAAATTCATTGCCCACCAAGGTTCCTACCAAATCTTGCGAGTTGCTGTTGTCAGTTTGATCCCACATAGATAGTTCTTAAAAAAGCATAATGCACAAGACAAACGTTTTTTACTGGTTAAGCTAAACTGTTATTTGGTTTTTAGAGTACTTCAGGGACTATTTTGGAATGAAGGTTTAAAGAATATCTCAGGGCAGTAGTTGCAGGGATTCATCCAGCCTTCATGGTTCCACATTGTCCGTAAGAATTTGAAATTGTTCTGTATTTTCCCCTTTTGATCAGGATTCTTCTGTGGAATCTTTGGTAAGTGGACATCATCCAGTTCTTCTGGGCTTATGGCAAAGGAGGCAGTTCTTCATGGAGACAGTTAGCTACACATTCCATATCATCCTCCTATTCCTGACTCTGTTCTTCCTCTGAACCAACATCCAGGAGAAGAGAGACCAATTGTACCTTGGGTGGCTCCTTGTGAGCTTTTAAGACTCCAGGCAGTTCATGTCAAACTAGGAGGTAGAGCAGAAGCATTAAACATGTTACTAGGCCAACTAACTGAAATGTCCCATGAAACCATGACCCTATACCTCCAAACCAAGAAATCAAATTGCATGAAGTTTTTGGTTGTACATAAGCAGCCTTGGCAGCTACTTTTTTTGTTGTTGTTCTGTCATCATTATAAATATATCTATCACACAACTTCTAATCAGTGCAGTATTTCCATTACTGTTAACCACCCCTTCTCCCCCTTCCTCTTGTCCCTATATATTTGCCTTTTCCTGTCTTTTTATGTGAGATCATATACTATTTATCCTTTTGTGATTGACTTATTTCATTCAGCATGTCTTCCAGTTCCATCCATATTGTAGCCTGTATCAAGACTTCATTTCTCCTGCTGACTAAGTAATATTCCATAATATGTGTGTGCCACATTTTGTTTGTCCATTCATCTGCTCATGGGCATTTAAGTTGTTTCCACCTTGAAGCTATTGTGAAAGTGCTGCAGTGAACATTAGTGTACAAGACTGTTTGAGTCTCTGCTTTCATATCTTTTGGGTATATACCTAGAAGTGGAATTGCTGGGTCATATGGTAATCGTATTTTTAGTTTTTTAAGGAACCACCATACTGTTTTCCACAATGGATGCACCATTTGCAATCCCACTAGCAATTGATGAGGGTTCCAGTTTCCCCACATCTTTGCTAACATTTGTCATTTTCTGGGGTTTCTCCTAGTAGGAGTGAAATGGTGTCTCATTGTGGTTTTTATTTGCATCTCTCTGATGACTAATGGTGTTGAGCATCTTTTGATTTGTTTTGTGGCCATTTGAATGTCTTCTTTCATGAAATGTCTATTCAAGTCCTTTGCCCATTTTATGATTGGTTTATTTGTCTTTTTGTTGTTAAGTTTTCAAAGTTTCATATATATTTTGGTTACTAGATTTTTGTTGGATTTATATTTCTGAAGATATTCACTCAGTGAATAGCTTGTTTTTCACTCTCTCAGGATGAATTTAATAACCCATACTGAAAATAAACAACTAACTCATTTTTAGCAGAAGAAATAGAAATCGTACATTGTGTCATTGGCCTGCCTGTATTTTGGTCAAAACCCAAAACCATCAACAGTGGCCTTCTGATAAAACATGCCCATAATGACTAATGGTGACATAGATGAGAATTGTCTACCCTTGATTAAAGCTGGGGCTGTTTGTAAGATGAGTTGTGTTGTGTGAAAATACCAGTATAGAGGTTCCCTTGCCCAGGGGGAGGGATACAAATAACAACTCTTAGATCCTTCAAGGGGCTTAGATTAGAAAGGCTTTTAGATCTCTAGATAAAGAATCTGCGTAATAGATGACAGAGAATTAAAACGGACCATAATCCCTAGAGAGGTAGCCAAACCCTAAACTTGTTCCCATCCAGTCACCTTTACTTACAGCAACCCTATAGGACAGAGTAAAACTGCCCTATAGGGTTTCCAATTTTTACAGGAGCTGACTGCCAGCTACATTTTTCTACCACAAAGTGGCTGGTGGGTTCAAACCACTTTAACAGCTCACTTAAGCACTGCACCACCAGGCTTCTGGAGGGGTATATGTGCCATTTAATCTATAAAGAGAATTATGACAAGGAAGGTTTTGTTGTCATGAATGCCTTTTGTCAGTAAAAAATCTTTGTCTTTACCTTTCTAAACTACTTGGCTGCAATGTAGTGACTTGTATGGTATGGCTTTTCTAGCCATAGTCTTTGTAACTTCCATTGGATTACTGAGTGGGACCATGCAAATATGTGTCAAATTGACTGGGCAGCTGGTAGTAGTTATTTCCTATAATGAGACTGGCAATTAACTCCGTGGTGGAATTTGCTGTGAGCAACTGAGCAGCTACTTTTAAACTCCTGATTGTTAAAGTCATCCACCTGGGGTATTTCTGTTAGTGCAGCACAAAGTAATCTTCTGGGGAAGTTTGTTCTCTCTCAGGTGTATAGAACTCTGATGTTGGGACTGGTTGGTTTTGCCACTCTGCTAGGCTTAAAATGAGCCCTTCTAGAGGCAGAGGGAGAGAGTCTCACTGCCGGTTGAGAGAGATGCCTGGCTGAGAGAGATGCCTGACTGAGACATGGCAGCAGTGGAAACGAGGCATGGAACAGAGCAGCAAACTTACCTGGCCCACAGAGGCAGAGGCCAGGCCAAGAGGCCAAGGGCCAGAGAGTCATGTCTAAGAGCACAGCAGAGGGGACACTGTCTTGATTGAAGAACTGTATCCTGAGCATGTCCCTGAACTTGAGTTGTAGCCTAATGTTTTCCTAATTAACCCCATAATCTGTGAGTTCTGTGTGGCCATTGCAGCAAATTACTGAACCCAGCAAAGAGGGGGTAGGTGTTGCAGGAGAGATGGTTGGTGTCAAGGTTAGTAAAAGGGCTGGAGGGTGGCGGCATGTCTGGCCCCATAGGAATAGCCCTTGGGCTGCTGATGGTGATTCTGTCTTCTTATTGTGTAGTTAGAGGAGATCAAAAGATACTGCCTCCCTGCCACTTTAGCATTGGCATTGGAAAATCCTACCCTAGGGCGCCAACTAAGGAAAATTAAGAGGATCTTGATACTTCCCAGAGAATTTCATTTTAGCACCACTGACTTAAAATTACAGTAAAGACTTTCTGATAGGTGAGGAAAAGCAGAGACTGCTGAGGATTGGCACAAAATTCATTTATTAAGCTGAAAAATATTCCACTCATCCAGTTACTTGAGGCATCTGCTAGTGTTTACCATATGTGAGACAGACTCCAATGTGAGTCTAAGAAAAGTATAAACTACCTATTATCTCTGGACTGGTAACTTTGAATGTATGCAGGCAAGCCAGGGTAGGTACAAAGCATATTCCAAATGTCAGTTTCCAGTCCAGCCAACAGTGTAGAAGGGAAAACTCATTGCAGGTCAGCACAGGGTGAGGCATTTTTTTTAAAAAAAAAGCCTTATGCTCCAGTTTATTTCAGTAAAACTATTACCTATTTTCCTCCCCCTGAGCACTCTCTTCTAACACTAGCAGGCATGATGACATTATCCGTATGGCCCACAGAGCAGCAGTGCTGGTCGTGGCCCAGAGTAAATTGCTGCCATTCTACTTTACGACACTCAGCAGTATCTGATGACCACTCTCTCCATCATCTCCAAGTCCATCCATCAGGCAGCAGAATTGACTCGGCTCACAGCGCAGATGAGTCAGCCGAAAGAATGCATTCTGTTGAAATGGTGCTGTTTAGCTGATTAGCACGGATACTGCTGAGGAGCCAGGCATTCATTTCTTTTCTGGTTTTATGGTTCACCAAAATGGCTTTTGCTTTTGTGGTCACATCAGCTTCCTTTTCTCTCTTGGCTTGCTTCTTAAGGCTGATGGCATCTTTTTTTTTTTTTTTTTTTTATGTTAATTCTCCCCAGTACTCTGAAATCCGATTTTTTAAGCTGAGATATAATTTACAATCAATAAAATACACAGATCTAGATTAACTATGAGTTGGAATCAACTTGATGCAGTAGGTTTGGTTTGGTTGCTTGATGTACTATTTTATGAGTTTT